AAAAAAAAAAAAAAAAAAAAAAAAAAATCAGTAAGAAAGAGTTTTTAAAACCCATAGACAAATGGGCCCAGGAATATAAAAGCAATTTATAGAAAAGTAAACTATAAATGGCTGGTAAATATATAAAGATGGTGATCGATGACTATTTTCATAAAATTCCAATCAAACATTTTAGGAATAACATTTTTTACCCTGCAGATTGGTAAAACATTACCAGTTGTATAGTATCTATCACGTCAAGGATATGAGGTAATGGGTACATGCATTCAGTTACTGAAACCCAAATTTGTATGGGCATTTTGAATATTGTCCTAGAATATCACTAATATTTAAAACACACATTCTTCGAACCAGAAATTCCACTTCTAGGTACATATTCTATAGAAAAAAATTCAAATACGTATACAAAGAAGTATGCACAGGATTCAGAATCTTACAAAAAAGTGTATTTAACTAGGTTGGAGTGTGTGTGTTTCCCAAGTTAAATAAAATCAGAAAGTCAAAGTCACAAGCCACAAAAAAGAAAAACTGATGAATTAGATAATAACTGAAATTAAAAACTCTAACTGCTACAAATAATGCCATCAAGAATGGAAAGTGACTGATAATGTGTATATTATTTTCAGGGTGATGTGAATGGTAACATGATAAGGTTTGGCTCTGTGTCCTCATCCAAATCTCATCTCAAATGGTAATCCCCACATGTGGAGGAAGGGAGGTGACTGGATCATAGAGGTGGATTCCCCCATGCTGTTCTTGTGATAGTGAGTGAGTTCTTATAAGATCTGATGGTTTTATAAGTGACAGCTTCTCCTTCACACATGCTTCTCTCCTGCCACCTTGTGAAGAGGAGGCCTGCTTTCCATTCCAACATGATTATAAGTTTCCTGAGGCTCCCCCAGCCATGCAGAATCATGAGTCAATTAAACCTTTCCTTTATAAATTACCTAGTCTCACATACTATCTTATAGCAGTGTGAAAACGGACTAATACGTGATGACAGTTGCAAAAAACACTATGAATATACTTTTTAAAAAAACACTGAATTGTATACCTTAAATAGGTAAATTGTATGTCCTGTGAATTATACTATAATAAGGTTGTTTTTTTAAAAACCAGCATCATCTGAAAATGTGAGTTTGATCATAGGGTACCACCTTCTAGGCAAGACACTATCTCATAAACGTTCCTCATGCATAAATGTAAATATAACTGCTCTACCTATTTTATAAAGCTATGGCATTCTTCAAATGATATAATACAGATAAAGTGTTTCATAAAATAGCCACTATACAAACTTTTATACAAATCATACAAACATTCAAAATCATTATTATTATAGAATACCTTCACATTAATATCAAGTAAACCTAAAGGAGAAATGTGGCTGTCATGGCACACTCCAACCAAGTTAAACACATTTTTATGTAAGATGTCACATTAACTGCATTCTTTCTTTCTTTTCTTCCCCCACCCACTGGTTATAGGAGCAATAGGATGAGCTGCATTATTTAACTGGAAATGAAAAAGAATCTCATAGCAAAACATACTAAATTTCACTTTCCTGAAAGATCAGAGAAAAAAGAGACACATACAGGAAGCCAACAGAGAAAAAGAAAGAAGTTTTAACCTAATTTAAAAATCCCTGATTTACCTTGTTGTTGTTACAAAGTTCACATTTTGCTAAATATATTTTTTCTTTTATATATATTTTTTTATAAAATTAAAATTTTTTTACTTTCTTTTATAGGGATGGGGTCTCACTATGTTACCCAGGCTGGTCTTGAACTCCTGGGCTTGAGCAATCCTTTGCCTTGGCCTCCCAAAGTTCTCTGATTTACAGGCATGAGCCACTGTGCCCAGCCAATATATTCTAATTAGTTTAAAAATAAATGTTAGTCTTATATTTGAAAAAATATAAGCTCTCAATCAGAAGTGATTCACTATTTTGGATCAGCTGGTTTTTGAAAAATATTTTATTTTTGATAGTCTTATCTACACTAGAAAGATATAATCTTCAGAAATAAAGGAGTTAAGAAATGGAGTAAAACACTAGTTAACATAGAGTTTAAAATGCAAAAAGGAATAAAATATAGATGATTCAATAAAGTTGTAGAAAATAAAATGTGTTTTCACCTGTCCATCCATCACTCCCAACAAAGCAGATTCCATCCACTGTACAGGTTCAATGAAATAAGATGTACATTGAGCTTGCCTCCCTGTGGTAAGCTTGAAAGGTGGTGTCATTCTCTTGTGGGCAAAGGCTATAGGTCCACTTCCTTCATGGTGATCCAGAATACTAGAACTTCGAAATAATGATCGCCTGCAACCCCCAAACAAACACAAATATTAATGACTTCCAAAAGAATGAAAACATGGATGAAATGTGCAATATATATATATATTTTTTTTTAAAGACAGAGTCTCACCCTGCTGCCCAGGCTGAGTGCAACAGCAAAATCTTGGCTTACTGCAACCCCTGCCTCCTGGGTTCAAGTAATTCTCCCACCTCAGCCTCCTGAGTAGCTGGGATTACAGGCACCTGCCACCACACCCAGCTAATTTTTGTATTTTTAGTAGAGACGGGGTTTTACCATGTTGGCCAGACTGGTCTCAAACTCCCGACTTCATGTGATCTGCCCGCCTTGGCCTCCCAAAGTGCTGGGATTACAGGCGTGAGGCACCATGCCTGGCAAAGTGTGCAATATTTCTTAAAGGACAAAATAATGTAACACTGATTATGCTACTCAAATTTTCAGTAACCCCTACAATCTGATTATTTCTCTTTTTAAGAATTTATATTCTTCCTGAAAGCATATCTGAACTAAAACTTTCTGTATGATTCAATTAAACAAAATCTTCCTATAGTAATTTAAGAAAATAAAACGCTAAGTACTTTTCAGCTACTGCGACAAGATAAAATCTCCAAAGGATACAAAATATTTTACCTGCAC